AGGGTGGGAGGGAGGGAGACGCAGGAGGGAAGAGATATGAGAATATGTGTATATGTATAACTGATTCACTTTGTTATAAAGCAGAAACTAACACACCATGGTAAAGCAATTATACTCCAATAAAGATGTTAATTAATAAATAAATAAATAAGAACCATCAACTACTAAAAAAAAAACTGAATTGTGAAGATCTGAGAATGTGCTACCACATGCAAGGAATTTGGAGGTTTGGTGTGAATATAATTAATGAAGATTTAAAAAAAAAAAAAAAGATCCCGCATGCTGCAACTAAGACCCAGCACAGCCAAAATAAATAAATAAAATACATATTGAAAAAAACCACTGCATTTTGCTAACAGAACCCAAGTCTGACCCCTCCCCCTCCTGATCTAGTTTCTCCTTTTACAGTCCTCATGCGCTCTTGGCAGCCAGAGCCCACAGAGGTGGGAGGAGAGAGTGGCAATGTCCTTAGGTGATTGCCCACAAGTCAGGAGCGGGGAGGCTGTGTATCTGGTACTGTGGTGCCCTGATAATGTCTCTGTTGTGTTGAAGCTGGCGGCAATGTCAGGCACCTGGTGGGGATGCTGCACGATGATACTGCAGAAGCACAGCTATTCCCTGTTCCTGCCCCTTGGCAACTGGTCCACCCAAGGTTTCTGCAGCCGCTTAAGTAGAGGGTGTCAGCAAGCCAGCCTGTGCTCCCAGCTAACTTCTGGGGTCTACTCTAGTCTCCCCTTGAATCCTCACCATGCCAATCCTGTGCCACTATAAATTTTGCTCTTTCCTGCTACCCCTGCCTCTCTGCCACCCTTCCTCCTTGCCCTGTCATTGCTGAATGCATCTGTGGGCTGCAAACTCAGCCCCAGTCTCTTGTTTCCAGAATGGTACCCAAACCTCAAAGGCAGTTCTGTTCAGAGGCATCCGAATTCATGGGCAGGGTGGACAGGGGAGAAGCACGAGGCTCTTCGAATTCTACCTACTAGGGGACAGTTTTCTTCTTCATTTACTCCTTTTCCTGGATCAAGAGAGGTACACACAGGGTGGGACAGGTAGCGTTCACTTGGAACGTAGCTGTTTAAGACTTAGTATCTACAAATGAACTTATCTATGAAACAGACTCACAGACATAGAAAACAGACTTGTGGTTGCCAAGGGAGACGGAGGTGTGGGGGAGGGAGGGATTGGGAGTTTGTGATTAGCAGATGCAAACTATTATATAGTGAATGGATAGACAACAGGGTCCTGCTGTATAACAAAGGGAACTATATTCAACATCCTATGATAAACCATAATGGAAAAGAATATGAAAAAGAATGTATATGTACAACTGAATCACATTGCTGTACAACAGAAATTAACACAACAAAGAGACTTCCCTGGTGGCGCAGTGGTTAAGAATCCACCTGCCAACGCAGGGGACATGGGTTCAAGCCCTGGTCCAAGAAGATCCCACATGCCGCGGAGCAACTAAGCCCATGCACCACAACTATTGAGCCTGCACTCTAGAGCCCACGAGCCACAACTACTGAGCCCACGCACCACAGCTACTGAAGCCCACGTGCCTAGAGCCAGTGCTCCACAACAAGAGAAGCCGCCACAATGAGAAGCCTGCGCACCGCAACGGAGAGTAGCCCCCGCTCGCCGCAACTAGAGAAAGCCCGCGCGCAGCAACGAAGACCCAGCGCACCCAAAAGTAAAAAATATTAAAAAAAAAAGAAATTACCACAACATGGTAAATCAACTATACTTGAATACAATTTAAAACTTTTTTATATTAAACATTACAAAAATTTTTCATTAAAAAAAAAAAAAAAGACAGTGGCTAGCCAAGAAGTCATTCAGCAGAAGTTGTAGGTGGACTATAGTGGCTGAGGGTGGGGATGGGTAACAGCGGTGGCCCTGCAGTACCATCGTGCAGACAGCTGTGAGGGTCCCCCCCAGGCGCCTCAAGCCCAATGTCACCTTTCAGTTCTGAGATTCCGAACAGTAATCCATGCACTTTTAGCTTGGCTACCAGATGTGGAGAAAGACACCTTCCAGGGACACTTCTCATCACCTCGGTATAAATACACAGCACCTGCTCCCAGCACTGTGGGGCAGCCTGGCGGCCAGGGCCCCTGGCTTTGCTGCCAGGCTGCACGGTGTTTCTCTTGTTGCTCGTCCACCAGAATGACTGCTGTGAGGCACGCCAGAGGCCAAGGGGCCCTGGATCTGTAGGCACCGTGGAACTCTGATCCTACTCTGCTGAGCGTCCTGTTTTCCTTCCAGCGTGGACTTAACACATACTTTGGGGATGGAAGAAATGAACTGATTTGGAACCTGATTTGAAAGATTTTGTTCTGGACCCAATCAGATGATTCGGAGTTACAGCAGACAGCTTCCACTTGTCTCCAGGGACCGCTGTCCTGCACCCCCCGTCCCCAAAATGTAGGCTTTTCACTTTTGATCCTCCCCGCCGATATTTCACTTAAAGGGGAGTGTCTATGAGTATAATTTCAAAGCTGACTTTTTAAAGTCTAGTTGACTTACAATATGATATTAGTTTCAGGTGTAGAACATCGTGATTTGATATTCCATATAAAGTTATAAAATACTGGCTATAGTACCTGTGCTGAACATTACACCCTTGAATCTTATTTTACACCTAGAAGTTCAAAACTCATTACAGCTGCAGTTACAGGGTCCCCTGAGAGGCACCACCTGTGCCCGGTTTGGAAGGCTCACAAGCTGAGCCAATCAGGAGGAAAGATCAGCTTCCTTATTTTATCTCCCCTAGTCCTTGTGTCACTGACCCACCTACATCTCCATTTTCCCCTGCTTACGATTGCATGCTGGCTGCGGAGCTTGAGGACTTATCTTTCCAACGTTCCCTGGCTCCCTGGCTTTCCTGCTCAGAAATGATGGATGTCCCCTCCCACCTGTCAGTTTCCCTGACCTCAGGGGCCCATTTACCCTTCCATAAATTGGCACAGAGCCTCTGAGATGCAAAACACAGCGCCAACGTGCTGAGCACGCTCCAGCCTCTATTGCCATTCTGAACACATTCCTAAGAAAATCAGATACTCTACCAAAAAACTTATTTTTCAGTTCTGGGCTTTCTTCCACTTTTTCTCAGTTTTCACCTATTTGTCTCTGAGAGTGGCAACAGCTTCCCAATGCACAGTCCCAAAATACTCTCTGCAGTTTTTCGTGATCCTCATCCTAGTTAAAATTGGGAATGGAAATATCCAAACCCGATTTGCTGGCCTCCTTAGTGTCGGTGTTCTCCCAGGAACACATTTCCTTTTACGGTAAACACAGGCTGTCTGTTTCTGAGGATCCGATAAGGACTGTGTTGTGTGACACAGACTCCTAATAAACACTCATGGAACCGGGTCTCTCACCCCCTCTAGACCTGCAGTGGTTAAGACCTTGATGGTGAGAAGAAGGGACGTGTCTCATTTAAAATCTACCAGCAGCTTTCAGGTCCATCTTAGGGTGAAGACTTGCAGGAAAGCCAGTTTAATGGACCTTGTGGGTATGTAAAAGTGGAACCAATTTTTGATTCTGGCTTGGAGGCAAAATGTGGAGCTAAGCTGCTCTGCGTCATAATCCTAAAGGTTCTCTTTATTGGGGGTAAAGAATATCTTTGCAGATTATTATGCTACTGACTGGGAGAGTGAACCTGAGGCTGGGTTTGAAACAGAAACCGGTTTTCTCTCTCTCTCTCTCTCTCTCTCTGGGTCTAAGAGAAGGTCTGAACTTCAAGAAGGGGAAAATGTCCAAAAATTCACCTCTTAGTAGCAGCTGGTGGTAAGCGGGGTCAAGAAAAAGGAAAGGCAGTAGGCTCCCTGTGAATGGCCATGGGCCTAGGAATCCGGGAGCAGGAAGACGCATTATCCATTTTAAGTTTTCTTTGCTACAATTCCCTTATATTATGCTCAAGCCTTTAACCAAGTTTTGTAAAACTGGTCTTTGTTGTGATTTAGAAGATTGATGGAAAGCCTGTGGTCACACTTTGGGGAACTGTTCCTGGCAGCAGGGGGGCAGCCTGGACAAGCTGGCTGAGAGACAGCTGGAGTGGTCCAGGGAAGGTGGCAGAAGAGGTGACACTTGGCAGCTAGGACCATATAGGTATCGCTCAAGGATGATCTCAGCAATACGGAGGGAGGGAAAACTGGTCAAAGATGGAGCACCCGGCAGAGGACTGGGGTCAGAGGATGTGTTCTTCTTTGGGTATTAAATGGGATGGTGACCTTTCAAGACTGGAGAACGTGGGAACATCTGGGCTCTACTTAGGAATGAAAACCTCTTTACATTAAGACAGTTGTATTTCTTATTCTTGTCATATCCACTGTCTCTATTCCTAGCCTCCCCACCCATCCCCTCCGACTCCTGCGATGTTTCCACAAATCACTTGACATTTTGAACAAAGAAGATAATCTGAACTTTTCAGTGATGTTTATTTCTCACCCTGTCATTCTTCCTATGGTCCATGTAAAAAACAGAGGAAATATTGCCAAGTTCCAACCAGCACATACCGTTATGTTAATAGCATAAATGGGACTTCACTGGTGGCGCAGTAGTTAAGAATCCGCCTGCCAATGCAGGGGACACGGGTTTGAGCCCTGGTCCGGGAAGATCCCACATGCCACAGAGCAACTAAGCCTGTGTGCCACAACTACTTAGCCCACGTGCCACAACTACTGAAGCCCACATGCCTAGAGCCCGTGCCTCGTAACAAAGAGAAGCCGCCACTTGCCACAACTAGAGAAAGGCTGCGCGCAGCAATGAAGACCCAACGCAGCCAAAAAAGAAAAAAAAATAGCTTAAACGATGCGTCATAATAAATTATACCTAAAGGTAGTAAAATTAAAATCTAAAGGTAATTTCGTGCCTCTGTTTAACTTATATATGGCTTCCTCCCTTAAGCCAAGTTATTTTATCACCATTTGTACCCTGTGGAGATGTCACTACGCTCCGAAAATATACTGCAATTGAAGCCACTCAAGGAAACTTACTTTCTATGGGGACTCCATTCAATAACCAGCTAATTCTGGGTTTGGGGTTGCCATTAGCTCTGCAGATCAGGGTTCCATCCTCTCCTGGGGACAGCACAAGATTTTGAGGTGCTATGATCCAGTACGGAGCCGCTTTGTGAGGAAAGGAAAAAAAACCCACAAAAAATTGAATCAAATAAGTTATTCTAGCAAACTGAACTATCTTAATAAAAAGAAGTATTTTGCAAAACATTTGTTAGTTTCATTTTTTTTAGAGTGAATCGATTTATGCTTCAAAGAACACTTCAGATTTTCAGAAGAATGTTGAAGAAGACTCAGTGACATCTATGTATTATTTCTAGAGCCTTTTGATTCAAATATCGTCATCTTGTTTTACATTACGTTAATCAGACATCGAAGAGGTAACAGATTTCTCTAACGGTGTAGAGGAATTTACAGGTACAGATAGGGCTAAGAAACGTGAATTTAAAATCTGAGCCCTGTAGAATACATGCAATTATAAATCTGAGCCCTGTAGAATACATACAATTATAAAATTGGGAAGCAGTTTCTAAAGCTTTGCAGTTTTGGAAAGCTGCCAAGTTAGTATAGCGTGTTCTTAGAAGCCCTTCATCAGCTTTCTCTTACAAAACCATGGAACAGATACCAAAACAAGAAATTAACATTGGATACCATCAGCTCAACTACACACTGTATGAGGAGTTCCCCAATTTTTCCCCTAATGTCTTATTTCTGTCTCAGGACCCTGTCCTGGACACCACATTGCGTTTAATTGTCACATCTTCTTACTTAGTTTCCTCCGATCTGGAAGTTTCTTGCTCTTTCCTTGTTTTTCATGAACCCGAGACTTTTAAAGACAACTAGTCAGTTATTTTGTAGAACATCTTTTTTTTTTTCTCTAAATAATCGAGAGCTTTTTGGTTATTTTTTGTAATAAGGAACATCCTCTTTTCATCATTCTCAGGACAGAAATGGAGAAAAGTGAATATATGTCAGTGTTGGTCATAAGTGTTACATATCAATGTTAATTACCAGCCCAACACTATAAGTTCTCCATCATCTCTCTTTTTCTCATGAAGAGTTTCTTCCTTGAACATCCTTCCAGACTTACAAAGGAGAACTAGTCAACTGAATTCTTTCAGGGATAAATCAAGCTTACTAAATTGATTAATCTTTGTATTTCTCCTAAGGTATGTTCTCTACTTCTTATCTGTAACTAAAATATTTTGTGAAACATTTTCAACATGCACTCATTCCTAGAGAATGTTTCTACCAGTGACTACTGAATTCTCCTACAGATCAATGGGAAGGTTTTAAGTGAACAAAAGCTCTTCCATCTAAGGTCAAATTTGGTGATTTCTGAGTGAAGAACTCCTGAATTTTTAGATTATAATCACCATCCAACCACCGCCATCAGTATCATCATAATGACTTCTTTTTATTAAAAAAAGGTTATACTCCATTTACAGTTATTATCAAATATTGGCTATATCTCCCGTGTTGTACAATAGATCCTTGTAGCTTATTTTAAACATCATAGTTTGTACCTCTTAACCCTCTACCCCTTTACTGCCTCTCCCCACTGGTAACCGCTGTTGTAGACGTCCATCATATCTGGGAGTACATGATACTGACATGGCTTATGAGTGGTTATATTAACCTTGATCACTTGGTTAGAGTGATGTCTGCCAGGTTTCTCCACTGTAAAGTTATGATTTTCCTGCTTTCCATGTTCTATTCGTTAGAAGCAAGCAAGTCCAGCCCTCACTCAAGGGGAGGACAGTTAAGCTCCATCTCCTTAAGGCACGAGGAGCAAAGAATTTGTGGACATATATTAAACCTGCCTCAGTAATTAATTTTTGGGGGGTGAGGGGAGAGGAAACACTTTGAGGCTATGCAAATATCCTGTTTCTCCTTAAAGTTCCGTCCCGTAATTTTAGCATTCATCACTAGCTCTTGCCTACAGCAGTTATAACTGTGGGATTCTAACTGTGATTTCCTATTTCCTTCATTCTTTCTACACTTATTAATTGGAATCCTCTACAAGGAAGATCCGAGGGAGTGAATTTTTAACCTGATTTAGATGCACTATAAATAGCAATGAGAAGAGATTCAAGGTGCCATGTATGTTGATATAAATTACATTATTATCGAATATAATCAAAGGCATTTGATTGAAGACTCAGGGATTCTCAATGGAGGCAAGAGCCATGTATTTTAGACAATGATATACCTTTAACTGTGACAGAAATGATATGATGGATGGCTCCTAGTGCATTTTTGGCTATACACTGGTAATTCCCAGAGTCTGCTTCTGTAACCTGAACAATCTGCAGAGTTTTCTTAAAGTTCCTATAAAATGTCCGGTTGATGGGGAGTGTTCCATCTTCTTTTATCCAGTAAATAATTGGGGTAGGCCTGATAAGATGAATAAACAATAACATTACAAGAAAAGAAGTTCACCTAGCTGCTTTTGAGGGTGATTTTCATGCGAGCTTGTCACAAACATAAAGATCATGAGGAATATATAGAGATTTTACCTAGCACCACACTTTCCTGAGTCATGCTCAAAACCTTACACTTCAGTCTGTAAGTTACCATTTTCACACAAGCAGAACTGTCCTAATTTACGGCACACTGTGAACTTGGACTTCAGGGATCTGGTGAGAATGGCAGCAAGACTTACTTGACTGAAGGGACCTAATTATTTTCTTCAAAGTTCTGATCAGTGAGGCACTCTTGGAAAATTCTGCATGTAGAGACTAGAGGCACTCTTGGAAAATTCTGCATGAAGGGACTATGTCAATCAAAAGAATGACCATGAAATTAATGACACCGAGTTATCCTTTTTTTATCAGCTAGAGCTAAAAATGCCAGAGAAAGAGCTGATATACATATTTGTGCCCATGAACTTTTCACACATTTCCATTTCAAATGGAAGCACCTCCCTATCTTATAACAGGCTATCTGATGAAGTGATTAGAGGAATCGTGCTCTTACTTTAGTTTCATTATTAGTGATATTTTAAAATACCAATTGACAGAAGCAGGCCCAACTCATGTGTTACTCATACCATTTCTCACCTATGTTTCTTATTAAATCATGAACTATAGAGGCAGATGAAAAGCCAGACATAGGCTTAGAGTTAAAAGGTCTGCTTCAAAATCCCAGCCTTATCCCTAAATTGCTCTCTGATCTTGGATCCCTGACCCTTTTGGGCCTCAGGTTTCTCTGTTGCCTTAAAGCGCAGAATGATGCTTGTTTTGATCTGGTGACTTGAGAAGGTTTTCATGAGGGTAAAATAAAAATCCATTCAATACATTTACTGAGACTAAATTATAGACCAAGCACCGAGTTGTGTGTTGGGAAGATAAAGATAAAAAACAGAATGGTCCACGCCCTCAGGAAGATCACAATGTATTTATCATTAGAAATGCAAGTGGAATTAATGGATTGTAGGATTTTTTTCATTTGTTTTGTCGAATAAAAATAATTGAACAGATATATTTGAGGAACTGAATTGTGAGTAGTGTGATTTCCCGACACGGCCAGCAGAGGCCTCCATGCGCCTCCGGAGGTAAAATTATTCCTGGAGGCCAATTCTGGGATTCTAGGAAGGAATGTGGACTTGGAGTCACCCGGCCAAAGACAGCACAGATCCTAACACGTGATCACAACATGTTTCCGAGATTCCAATCAATGTTTTCAGCAAATGTGCCTTATCAGTAGTACTTGCTCTGTGTCTGGCATAAGAGGGAACTACATAGAGAAGCTTGCCTTAAACGGTTTCCTAATATGGGACTCCTGTCAAGGGCACGTGTGTTCTGGGGGTGGCGTCAGTTTTGAGGTCTGCACAGATGAGACATCTGCAAAGAAGCTGGGCTGGTGACTGGTCACTAGGAAGCAGGGGTTGGGACAGTGTGCCAGGTAGGTTAGGTCCTGTGAGGCCATGTTTGCCTCTGCTGTTAGGAGAACAAGCCAGGGCGAGATTGCTAGAGGGATGTGAGAAACTCATGGTCAAGAGCTCCGTTGCCCTGCTCATAGCCAGCAGACCCAGAGCTGTGAACCCAGAGCCGAGCCGCCCAGCAGATGCACAAACAGGGTCAACTGAAATCAGTCAGATCTAGCCTGTTACAGCACAGCTGCCCTGCAGACCTGCAGACAAACGATCAGTGATAGACAGCTATGGGTTTTAAGGCACTAATTTTTGAGATGCTTTGTTAGACAACAGTAGCAAAATGATAACCTGAATTACATAATCAGAGCAGTCAGAAGGTGATTACTGATACTTATCTCAAAAGGAACACTGTTAACAAAATATTTTAATAACATGAAATTTATATGGCCTGTTTTGGAAGGAATTATCACATTTTTCTTGATGCTTAATGGAATCAACATAAAACAATGACTCTTGTTATGATATTAACGCCTCTCTACCAATCTACTATGTTTACATAAGAAGTGGACATCAAGACAGACAGAGTTAACTCACAGCCCTTCTGCAATGCACTCAAGTGAAAGGACATTTCCTCGTAATTCCTCTTTGCGGCTTGCATTGCCTTCTGGAGTTAAAAATGTTGGTGGCCTCTCTCTATGTGATTTAGCTGCAAACGAGAAAATCAATATGCATTCAGAGTTATGAACACGGATTTCTAGAAGCCCCGTTCACTGTCTAAGAACCTAATCCCTTTGCAAATCCATTTAGCATTTGATTGGGAAATCTGGTAAACAGACACACTCTTTGCCTTGCAAATAGCCATCACTCACTCAGCCGGAAGCAGAAAGTATTCTGGTTGCACCACAAGCACTAATAATAAGAACTTTTTTCCTCTTGTACATTTCCCTAATTTGGGTTAGGGTCCTATGAATTTCTGGTGAGTTGGCAAATTTTCAAAATGTAGACATAGAGAGGAAAATCATGTTATCAAACTATCCATCTCTTAAGATGAGTGCGCACGTCAAATGGAAAATGAGCCGTCTGGAAGATAAGGTGATGGAAGGGGTATTTTGCTTTACCCTAGGGACAACATTATAGTCAATTCCATTGACCAATCGTGAAGATAAATCGTGCTGGACATCTAACATATCAAAACTGCAGAGTTTATGGAAAACAAAACAAAACACAACTAGAAAGTGACGGCAGAGGTATGGCAAATTGTGTGTCATAAATTAAGGGTGGACTTAAAGCAATTGAAATGGGTTTCCTCGACAAAAACGTAAAAAAAGGGCTCAAGTCAGAAATCTCAGGAAGATACCTACAGACTACCTTCATGTTTTATGTAGTCCTTGCCTAAATGTGGCCTTATCTCCTGATGGCCTCTCAGAAAAACTTAAAGTCGAAATCATACCGTCTTGAGGTTCTAAGAGCCCTTTACAGTGTTCAACACTTTAATGTATTATCTACTTGATGCTCATAAAAACTGAAAAGGTAACATATGAATTCTTCTCATTTCTCAGAAGAAAAGACTGAACACCAGAGAAGGTATTACTGGAGATAAATTAGAGTTTTCCTTAGATTTTACTGCTCTGAAATCACTTTGGGAATGATTTTGAGACCCATATTTTTCAGGAGGATTTTAACATAAAATAAAATAAGGTAAGATAAAATAAAATAAAATAAAATAAGGCAGGAGTTGTGATCTGTTTACTCTGGTCATTGATAGTACCTTAATGTTTTTTACTTCATATCTCAAAGGTAAAAAATTAATACAGCAGAAATTCTGCCTTATAGATAATTAAGAGGACCCCATATCCAGAACCCATAATTTTCAGGTATAGACTCTATACCTGAGAGCCATATTTCCGTTAAGAAAATCAAATTCTTTTCTTTTTAAAAGAATGAAGTTAAATCCTCTATTTTTAAAAAGATTACTTCCACTGAAGACAGTCACTCGATTTTAAACAAAACTAAGAGAAATACTATTGCTAATTATGTGACGTTGATAAGGTCATGTGAAAACAGATGGAAATACGATGATTTACTATCAAAATCCACTTAATATTAATTGCAGAAAGTTTACTAAGACTTTGACGTTAGTATTTTAGCAGGTTAACGCACCTTGCCAACTCTTATTTAATTCATGAGAAAAGCTTATGAGCCAGACAAAATATGAAAAATGTAATTCTGAACATACACGAAAGATTTTTTTTCCAAATCTCGTGGAATGGTTCTTTACATGAAAACAGTTATAGTAACTTTCATTATTATACATACAACATGGAACACGTTTTAGTGACATGTTTGAAAGCTCAGAGCTAAACTTCATATGAAACATACATTGATTTTAGTGGTATTAAACATGGAACTAGGAATTTCATAAAGAAATAAGGTTAAACAGCCATGGAGGTGAAGTTAGTGAACTAAATTCTACAATGAAGGAGACATATCAGTTACAATCACCATAACTCACCACCATAAAACTCAGTGTCACTCAAATTAGCAGCTATAGTGTCATTCAATTCATCCACTGAAATAAACAGAATATTATGAAGAATGCAAAAAGTAGGGGGCAGGGGATTGTAAAAAAAAGTATTGGGCAACAAAAGCAAACATATATACCTATGCTGACCGAGTACCATCCCTACCAAGTAAAAACAGTGCTTTACATTGTATAGAACTATTTCATTAATTCACTCAGCCACCCCCCAACCAGTAATATATGAATATATAACCGAAGCAGCAGGACTCCCAATTAAAGGCATCGTGGAGCATAAAGCACTCACAAATGCTCAGAACACTAAGTAGATTCAGGAAGTTACCATGGCAACAGTAATGGTATGACAGCAAAAACTGTAAAATACAGTATTTAAGGTAGGCAAGCTCCTTATAACATTGATACATATGCCAACACTTTAGCGACTATTCACAGGTACTTTCCTGATCAGTGAACCTGTTTACTTCAAAGCTAGTAGGATTTAATAATTCATACATTTGCACACATTTGTAAACATCATGGCAAGAGAGTTTCTGGAAACTGAACTCTTACCTGAAATCACCTTCACAGAAATAGGTTGCTTCTGCTGTATGGTTTGAGTGTGATTAAATCGTGCGTAACAGATGTAGTCTTCCCGGGTATCCTCTGGGAGCACATTGGAAAAATAAAGGTCTCCATTCAGACCCTGGGAAACTCTCTCACTCTGTGGAAGTCTTTGAAAGGCTGGAGAAAGGCGGAGAGACATCTAGATCATTCCATCACAAAGTAGCCACTTTCCAAATTAGTGAGATAAATGTATCTACTAATAACTAGTTCTGTGAACTTCACTTGAATGTTTTTTTTTCTCTATAAAGATCTTTGAGTAAAAGCAAATAACTGTAAAAAAAAAAAAAAAAAAAGACACATGTATTAAAACTCCAGTTGTACCTGCCAGACCCTCATTTCTCTGGAGTGGGTGTAGAGGTGAGATTAGAGTTGTCCAGGGTTTCATGGAGGGTTTCATGGAAGGGTTTCATGAAGCAAGCATAAACCAAAAAATGTTTTACAGAGAGTTTGCATGACTTTTCCTAACATTTAAGTTAATCCCTAATTGTTAATCATAGATACACACGTATCTCAGAAAGTGCATTATGGAAGCTTGTAAGGATGTTAACACGGGTTGCATCTATTGCAGTACATACACAGTCAGACACCTTATACTGTGACAGCACCTAACTGTGATGAACTAGGTCCTGGGCAAGGTGTCAGGTGGACCCGGTTCCCTGCCCTGAGCTTGGGATCTAACTGGAGAATCAGGCAGCAAACAGGCAATTAACAACAGGGTGTAATGCTGCAGACGTGCCACTCAGAGGCCCCCCACACCCAGCCTCCCTCACCTCCTCTACTTTTTCTTTTTAGTGTTACCTATCACCTTCTAACAGACAATGTACTTTACCTGTCATGCGTATGGCTTATAGCCCGTCTCCCCGCACTAGAATTTAAGTTCCAGAAGGATGGAGACCGTCATCTGCTTTGTCTACTGTTGTAGCCCTAAAAATGCACCTGCCCCCTCACAGAAGCTCCAAAATGAAATGAACAACCATCAGCATTCTGACTTTCCAGTTTCACATTTAACAACCGACTTCTCCTCAGGCCCAAGGAACAGTCTAGCCTCAGGCGTGGAGGGGGGATTTTCTAAGGCGATGAGGAACTCAGGGAGATGGGACCAATGATCTATGTGTGAACTGACACTTGGCTGGCTAGCATGACTCAGGAAGCATCTGACTCAGTTCACTGGGAGAGTTCTTCAGCTCTGAAGTGAGAGAACCAGGAAAAATTGTACCTCCTAGTTGCCTGGGGCCAGGTGTCATGTCTCCTGGAGGATTTCTCGAGACTGAGTCAAGCAGATATGCTCCTACAGCAGCAGGTGCCCTATCTAAAATGTCAAGAAATGCAAAATTATGGGGAAAAGCCTGCAGCTCCCTTGGGCAGGAAAAGGTAGGGAAATGTGGAGCCAGACCTTGAAAGGATGCTGGTTAGCCATGTTAGTCAAGTTCTAGGTCAAGACGGGGGTTTGGATGGTGGTTGTAAATTCATGGTTTGAAGCCATTAACCAGGGAAAAGGTTGTTTTAAAAAATAACTCCGAAAAATAATGTACATTTATTTCATGAATACAAAGAGCTAAAGATAGGGACACATTTATTCTCTTCCATTTCTCCTGCTGTATTTTATTATGGACCGGTGTTGGGAGATCAAATGAAAGGGAATGCCATTTTATGAGGATGGTAGCACTTTGCCCAAGGAGTTCCTTGGCATTACATTGGGGACAAAAATGTATGCAGATAGGAATACCATGATAAGGTCATCTTCCCAGAAGAATGCTACACAGATCTGAATTTTTTCTCATATCCAGATGAAATTTCACTTGAAAGGTCCAGATGCTTTGCCTACAGCCTAAAATGTATGTAAATGACATGGCCAGCAGTGCAATGTGAAAAAAATAAGTTACATATTCAGATGATTCTGAGACTCTACATGTATATGCCTCTTTATTAAGTGGAAAAGTCATCAATTCTGAGTAAGAACCAATAACCAAATACTGGGTCTCATTTTGGCAGTACATTTGGATACTGTTATCCTCGACCACGTAACCCACTCATTTCCATTTGATTTGTTACTTATTCTTTCAAAATCTGTAAAAGCTGTTACGTGATCATAGGAAAAATATCTTCGCCCATTTATTCATTTATATATTGATTTTCCATTTCTTTGTGATACTTTCTCTGAGTGCTTTGATACAGAACAGTCAAAACTGGAAATGAAATGTGAGAGCTGAACTTTATCTTCAGTAATGTGCACAGCTGGTGATTTCAAAGGAAATCATGTCACTGAGAACAGAATGTATTCCCTACACATATTTTGCAACCATTCCCACCATTCTACCCAAAGGACTCTTGCCAAGGTCAACAGCGACCACCGTGTTGCCAAATGTAATACTCATTTCTCAGTCAGATTGGAAATTGATCTCTCAGCAGTATTTGAACCGGCTGATATTCTGTCTTCCTGACACTTTTTCTTCCCCTCGTCCCGGGGACACCCTCTCTTTTTGTTTTCTTCTTACCTAAGTGACTGCTTCCTCTCATCTACTTTCCTTTGCTCCCTAAGTTCTTGGCCCCTGGAGGCTCCTGGTCTCAGTCCCCAGGCTTTGCTCTTCACCACCTGCACTCCCTCCCTTCATCCTCCCCTCCAGTCCCCGGCTCTACAGAGCATCTCTGCAGCACTAACATTCACACATTGTCGGCAAGAGCCCTGAGTCTTCCTTGGATTCATGTAGCTGTAGCTCTGATTCCTGCTGGAGACCTCCACAAGGATGCCTCACAAGCCTCTCATCCCAAACCCTGGTTCCTAGTCTCCCGGCAGAACCTCCACAAGGATGCCTCACAAACCTCTCATCCCAAACCCTGGTGCCTAGTCTCCCGGCAGAACCTCCACAAGGATGCCTCACAAGCCTCTCATCCCAAACCCTGGTCCCTAGTCTCCAACGTAACATGCTAAGGGGAGGTGTGGAAGGATGGGAGAGCAGAGCAACAAACAATTCCCTAAGGATAGGGATGGGGTGAACAGATGTTAAACTGCCTAATGAATGACTTCAATTCTCTGTGCCTCAGTTTCCTCATCTAAAAAGTGGTAAGAGTCTAGGCTTCTCTGGTGGCGCAGTGGTTGAGAGTCCGCCTGCCGATGCAGGGGACACGAGTTCGTGCCCCGCTCCGGGAAGATCCCACATGCCACGGAGCGGCTGGGCCCGTGAGCCATGGCCGCTGAGCCTGCGCGTCTGGAGCCTGTGCTCCGCAACGGGAGAGGCCACAACAGTGAGAGGCCCACGTACCGCAAAAAAAAAAAAAAAAAAAGTGGTAAGAGTCATTCGAAATGCTTCCTGGGACTGCTGTAGAAAATGGATGAGATAACTTATGTAAAGCCTTTAGCAAAGGGACAGGCACTTAGTAAACGTCCAATCGATATTAGCTGTTGTTACTACTATATATAAAATAGATAATCAATAAGCATCTACTGTATGGTGCAGGGAACTATACTCAATATTTTGTAATAACCTCTAAGGGAAAAGAATCTGAAAAAGAATAGATTTATATATATATATATGTGTGTGTACATATATGTGTATAACTGAATCACTTTGCTGTACACCTGAAACTAACACAGCATTGTGAAACAACTGTACTCCAATATAAAGTAAAAAATTAAATTAAAAGAAAATGAGCTGTTGTTGGGGATAAAAGAACGAAACTGAAAGAAGAGACATAACACATCCTGAACAGCTTGATTTCCTTCCCTTGATGGGCTTCTGGTGTTTCAGGAAATGGCAATTCCATTTTACTAGTTGTTCAGTCTTAGACTTTGGAGTTACCTTTCATTAGACTTTGGGGTTACCTTTGATTCCTCTGTCTCATGCCTCCACCCTGACCCCGATAAATCCTGGAGGATCTACCTTCAAATTATATCTGGAATCTGACCATTTCTTCCTTCCTCCCTCCCTGCCTCCCTTCCTTTCTTTCTTTTTTTTTTTTAATGGCCTCGTGGCACGTGGGATCTTAGTTCCCTGACCAGAGGTCAAAGCCACGCCCCCTGCATTGGAAGTGTGCAATCTTAACCACTGGACCACCAGGGAAGTCCCTGGAATCTGACCATTTCTTACTTACTTGACTGCCACTACCCAAGTCCGAGTCCCCGTCAACTCTTGCCCAGATCACAGCACTGGCCTCCTAACAGAAAGTCCTTCTCTCCCTTTCGTCCTCTCTGTTCTCCACACATGAACCAAAGTGAGGCTCTTACTATTTGTTTTGATTCAGGTGAAGCCACTCCTTCAATGTCTCCCTACTTCACTGAAAGCAAAAGCCAAAGCCCTTCGCACCGGAGCCCCTGGACTTTCTTGACCTTTTCTCTCACTGTCGCCCTTGGGTCAGTCAGCCCGGGCACACTGGCCTCCCTGCTGATTTTACACACACCAGGGATGCTCCTGCCCTTGGGGCTTAAACTGGTTTTTCTCTTTCCACTCAGATATTTAAGGGCCTGCTTGCTCTTTCACTCCTGTAAGTTTCTGCTCAAAACTCTGCTTATTTTTCTTCACAGCACTTACTGCCAACTGACACATATTTTCTAAATGCATTTATTCTCCGCTTCCTTCTCTCCCCGCTTTTATTCCCATTGCATAGAATATAAATTCAGTGAGAGCAGGACCTTTGTTTGGTTTATTCAGAGAGGTGCCTGGTACATAGTAGGTGCTCAATAAAATAAAGTGACTGAATGAAAGGATATGTGATTTATTTTCCTGAGAATCTCTAAGACATTTTATAAACATCTTATGAATCACAAGAGGTAATAATTGATTGGGACAGCCAATAATCATAAGACTCTTGAAGAAAGAAAGTTCTTATTTTTAAAACTTACAATTATCCATCCAGAATATTATAGGTGGTGGTAACCCAACTGGGGGTCTGCAGGGCAGTACCAAAGACTGGCCATTTCTAAGTGTTATTCGTTCAAGTTTTTCTTTGGTCCACAACGGTGACCCTAATGAAATAAAACAATAACTTCTAAGTTATTTCTGCACTGGAAAATAAAAAGAGCACTAGAAAGAAATATAAACCAAACTTTTGGAGAAATAGTAACTCGAAATTTATATACATTAACGACAAAAAAAATTTTAAATATGGTGTTAAAAAATGACATTAGTAGTATAAATTCTGAGTCAGCAATTCCATGTCTAAGAATTTATATTAAATAAACCCTTAAGAAGATACAAACTAATTTTTCTACAAGCGTGCCCTTCATGAAAGAATGAAAAACATTTCTATGTCAAAAGATTTGTTAAACAAATAACTGTACATGTACACCTTTGACTATCATACAGTGTTAGACATTGTATACTTATTTATAAGACTAATATAAAATATACATGATATCTAGATAAGGCAGAAATGGTTATAAAATAGTACTTCAGAATGAGCTTGTTTTCGACATGTACATACATATCTGCCTGGGTAAAAATAGAAAGAATAGTAATTTCCTTGAATGAAAGGATTTGTGAGTAATTTTGAACTTTCTTTTTTGTTCATTTGTAATTGGTTTATTCTATAATGCACATGTATTATACACATAATAAACATTTTAAAAAATGACAAGAACTTCAAATGGTTGCTGTCCTTTAAATACATGCTCTTGGGTTGTTGAGAGCATGTGGGTACTGACTATTGCAAAAAGAGCCACAACAATATCAAGATAGTGAGGTCACCCTATTTCCAGTGAAATTTTGAAATAAAAATGTTTAAAGAAATACATGCATCCCAATGTTCACAGCAGCATTATTTACAATAGTCAAGACATAGAAGCAACAACCTAAGTGTCCATCGGGCAGATGCATGGATAAAGAAGATGTGGTACATATATACAATGGAAAATATTACTCAGCCATAAAAAAGAATGAAATATTGCCATTTGCAGCAACATGGATGGACTTGGACGGCATATGATAAGTGAAATAAGTCTCTGTACAGAGAAAGACAAATACTGTATGATATCACTTATACGTGGAATCTAAAAAATACAACAAACTAGTGAATATAACAAAAAAGCAGCAGACTCACAGATACTAGTAGTTACCAGTGGGGAGAGGGATAGGGGGAGGGGCAGTATAGGGGTAGGGAGTCAAGAACTACAAACTCTTATGTATAAAATAAGCTACAAGGATAGGCCCCAGTGTGGCTTCCGTGCCATCCATCTCGCAGTTGCTGCCGTAGGAGACCTTGGCGGTGGCCCAGGCCACACATGCCCGCAGGCCCCCACTTGTCTCCTGTGGCAGCCTCCGTGCAGTCACCCAGGCCCAGCCAGCTGCCGGGGCTCTCAGTCTGCCCGTTCTCTAGTCACCGCTTACTTCGGGGTCCAGCAGATGCCGGAGACCAGGGAGACCTCGTGGAGGACCTCGCAGGGGCCGCTAGCTGCCTCCTGAGCCCACCGGGTCTTCAGAGACTCTCCGGAGAAGCTGTGTGGCTGACAGGATCTTGGTGCTCCAGCAGGGTGTCAGGCCTGTGCCTCTGAGGTGGGAGAGCCGAGTTCAGGACATTAGTCCACCAGAGACTTCCCGGCTCCACGTAATATCAAATGGCGAAAGCTCTACCGGAGATCTCCATCTCAACGCTAAGATCCAGCTCCATTCAACAACCAGCAAGCTACAGTGCTGGACACCCTATGCCAAACAACTAGCAAGACAGGAATACAACCCCACCCATTAGGAGAGAGGCTGCCTAAAAACATAGTAAAGTCAAAGACACCCTAAAACACACCACTGGATGCAGTCGTGCCTGACAGAAAGACAAGATCCAGCCTCATCCAACAGAACACCAGCACTAGTCCCCTCCACCAGGAAGCCCACACAACCCACTGAACCAACCTTAGCCACTGGGGGCAGATACCAAAACCAACAGGAACTACGAACCTGCAGCCAGCGAAAAGGAGACCCCAAATACAGTAAGTTAAGCAAAATGAGAAGACAGAAACACACAGCAGATGAAGAAGCAAGGTAGAAACCCACCAGACCAAACAAAGGAAGAGGAAATAGGCAGTCGACCTGAAAAAGAATTCAGAGAAATGACAGTAAAGATGATCCAAAATATTGGAAATAGAATAGAGAAAATACAAGAAATGTTTAACAAGGACCTAGAAGAACTAAAGAGCAAACAAACAATGATGAACAACACAATAAATGAAATTAAAAATTCTCTAGATGGGTTCAATAGCGGAATAACTGAGACAGAAGAACGGATAAGTGACCTGGAAGATAAAATAGTGGAAATAACCACTGCAGAGCAGAATAAAGAGAAAAGAATGAAAAGAATTGAGGACAGTCTTAGAGACCTCTGGGACAACATTAAACCCAGCAACATTCGAATTATAGGGGTCCAAGAAGAAGAAGAGAAAAAGAAAGGGACTGAGAAAATATTTGAAGAGATTAAAGTTGAAAACTTCCCTAATATGGGAAAGGAAATAGTCATTCAAGTCTAGGAAGTGCAGAGTCCCATACAGGATAAATCCAAGAAGAAACACGCCAAGGCACATATTAATCAAACTCTCAAAAATTAAATACAAAGAAAAAATATTAAAAGTAGCAAGGTAAAAACAACTAATAACATACAAGGGAATCCCCATAAGGTTAACAGCTGATCTTTCAGCAGAAACTCTTTAAGCCAGAAGGGAGTGGCAAGACATATTTAAAGTGATGGAACGGAAAAAACTACAACCAAGATTACTCTACCCAGCAAGGATCTCATTCAGATTCGATGGAGAAATTAAAACCTTTACAGACAAGCAAAAGCTAAGAGAATTCAGCACCACCAAACCAGCTTTACAACAAATGCTAAAGGAACTTCTCTAGGCAGGAAATACAAGAGAAAGAAGAGACCTATAATAACAAACGCCAAACAATTAACAAAATGGTAATAGGAACATACATATTGATAATTACCTTAAATGTAAATGGATTAAATGCTCCAACCAAAAGACACAGACTAGCTGAATGGATACAAAAACAAGACCCATATATATGCTGTCTACAAGAGACCCACTTCAGACCTAGGGACACATACAGACTGAAAGTGAGGAGATGGAAAAAGATATTCCATGCAAATGGAAATCAAAAGAAAGCTGGAGCAGCAATTCTCGTTATCAGACAAACTAGACTTAAAAATAAAGACTATTACAAGAGACAAAGAATGACACTACATAATGATCATGGGATCAATCCAAGAAGAAGATGTAACAATTGTAAATATTTATGTACCAACATAGGAGCACCTCAATACATAAGGGAAATGCTAACAGCCATAAAAGGGGCAATGGACAGTAATACAATCATAGTAGGGGACTTTAACAACCCACTTTCACCTTGGACAGATCATCCAAAATGAAAATAAATAAGGAAACACAAGCTTTAAATGATACATTAAATAAGATGGACTTAATTGATATTTATAGGACATTCCATCCAAAAACAACAGAATGCACTTTCTTCTCAAGTGGTCATGGAACATTCTCCAGGATAGATCGTATCTTAAGTCACAAATCAAGTCTTGGTAAATTTAAGAAAATTGAAATCATACCAACTATCCTTTCCGACCACAATGCTATGAGACTAGATATCAACTACAGGAAAAAAGTCTGTAAAAAATACAAACACATGGAGGCTAAACAATACACTACTTAATAACCAAGAGATCACTGAAGAAATAAAAGAGGAAATCAAAAAATACCTAGAAACAAATGACAATGAAAACATGACAACCCAAAATCTATAGGATGCAGCAAAAGCAATTCTAAGAGGGAATTTTATAGCAATACAATCCTACCTCAAGAAACAAGAAGCATCTCAAATAAACAACCTAACCTTACACCTAAAGCAATTAGAGAAAGAAGAACAAAAATACCCCAAAGTTAGCAGAAGGAAAGAAATCATAAAGGTCAGATTAGAAATAAATGAAAAAGAAATGAAGGAAATGATAGCAAAGATCAATAAAACTAAAAGCTGGTTGTTTGAGAAGATAAACAAAATTGATAAACCATTAGCCAGACTCATCAAGAAAAAAAGGGAGAAGACTCAAATCAATAGAATTAGAAATGAAAAAGGAGAAGTAACAACTGACACTGTAGAAATACAAAGGATCATGAGAGATTACTATAAACAACTCTATGCCAATAAAATGGACAACCTGGAAGAAATGGACAAATTCTTAGAAAAGCACAACCTTCCAGGACTGAACCAGGAAGAAATAGAAAATATAAACAGACGAATCACATGCACTGAAATTGACACTGTGATTTAAAATCTTCTAACAAACCAAAGCCCAGGACCAGATGGCTTCACAGGCGAATACTATCAAACATTTAGAGAAGAACTAATACCTATCCTTCTCAAACTCCTCCAAAATATAGCAGAGGGAGGAACACTCCCAAACTCATTCTACGAGGCCACCATCACCCTGATACCAAAACCAGAAAAGAAACTACAAAAAAAGAAAACTAAAGGCCAATATCCCTAATGAATATAGATGCAAAGATCCTCAACAAAATACTAGCAAACAGAATCCAACAGCACATTAAAAGGATCATACACCATGATCAAGTGGAGTTTATCCCAGGAATGCAAGGATTCTTCAATATATGCAAATCAATCAATGTAATAAACCATATTAACAAATTGAAGGAGAAAACTCATATGATCATCTCAGTAGATACAGAAAAAGCTTTTGACAAATTTCATCACCCGTGTATGATAAAAACCCTCCAGTAAGTAGGCATAGAGGGAACTTACCTCAACATAATAAATGCCATATATGACAAACCCACAGCCAGCATCATTCTCAATGATGAAAAACGGAAACCATTTCCTCTAAGATCAGGAACAAGACAATTTTGTCCACTCTCACCACTATTATTCAACGTTTTGGAACTTTTAGCCACAACGATCAGAGAAGAAAAAGAAGTAAAAGGAATCCAAATCAGAAAAGAAGCAGTAAAGCTGTCACTGTTTGTAGATGACATGATTCTATACACAGAGAATCCTAAAGAGGCTACCAGAAAACTACTAGAGCTAATCAATGAATTTGGTAAAGTAGCAGGATACAAAGTTAACATACAGAAATCTCTTGCATTCCTATACACTAATGATGAAAAATCTGAAAAAGAAATTAAGGAAACACTCCCATTTACCACTGCAACAAAAAGAATAAAATACCTAGGAATAAACCTACCTAAGGAGGTAAAAGACCTATACTCAGAAAACTATAAGACACTGATGAAAGAAATCAAAGATGACACAAACAGATGGAGAGATATACCATGTTCTTGGATTGGAAGAATCAATATTGTGAAAATGACTCCACTACCCAAAGCAATCTACAGATTCAATGCAATCCCTACCAAACTACCAATGGCATTTTCCACGGAACTAGAACAAAAAAATCTCACAATTTGTATGGAAAGACCCCGAATAGCCAAAGCAATTTGAGAAAGAAAAATGGAGCTGGTGGAATCAGGCTACCTGACTTCAGACTATACTACAAAGCTAGAGTAATCCAAACAGTATGGTACTGGCACAAAAATAGAAATATAGATCAATGGAACAGGATACAAAGCCCAGAGATAAAGCCATGCACATATGGTCACCTCATTTTTGATAAAGGAGGCAAGAATATACAATGGAGAAAAGACAGCCTCTTCAATAAGTGGTCCTGGAAAACTGTACAGCTACATGTAAAAGAATGAAATTAGAACACTCCCTAACACCATAAATAAAAATAAAATCAAAATGCATTACAGACCTAAATGTAAGGCCAGACACTATAAAACTCTTAGAGGAAAACATAGGCAGAACACTCCATGACATAAATCACAGCAAGATCCTTTTTGACCCACCTCCTAGAGAAATGGAAATAAAACCAAAAAGAAACAAATGGGACCTAATGAAACGTAAAAGCTTTTGCACAGCAAAGGAAACCATAAACAAGATGAAAAGACAACCCTCAGAATGGGAGAAAATATTTGCAAATGAAGCAACTGACAAAGGATTAATCTCCAAAATTTATGCAGCTCCATATTAAAAAAACAAACAACCCAATCCAACAATGGCCAGAAGACCTACGTAGACATTTCTCCAAAGAAGATAAACAGATTGCCAACAAACACATGAAAGGATGCTCAACATCACTAATCATTAGAGATATGTAAATCAAAACTATAATGAGGTATCACCTTACACCATTCAGAATGGGTATCATCAAAATATCTACAAACAATAAATGCTGGAAAGGGTGTGGAGAAAAGGGAACCCTCTTGCACTGTTGGTGGGAATGTAAATTGATACAGCCACTATGGAGAACAGTACTGAGGTTCCTTAAAAAACTAAAAATAGAACTACCATATGACCCAGCAATCCCACTACGGGGTATATACCGTGAGAAAACCATAATTCAAAAAGAGTCATGTACCATAATGTTCAGTGCAGCACTATTTACAATAGCCAGGACACGGAAGCAACCTAAGTGTCCATCGACAGATGAATGGGTAAAGAAGATGTGGCACCTATATACAATGGAATATTACTCAGTCATAAATGGAAATGAAATTGAGTTATTTGTAGTGAGGTGGATGGACCTAGAGTCTGTCCTACAGAGTGAAGTAAGTCAGAAAGAGAAAAACAAATACCGTATGCTGACACATATATATGGAATCTAAAAAAAAAAAAAAGGTCATGAAGAATCTAGGGGCAAGATGGGAATAAAGATGCAGACCTACTAGAGAATGGACTTGAGGACACGGGGAGGGGGAAGGGTAAGCTGGGACGAAGTGAGAGAGTGGTAGTGTATATATGGACATATATACACTACCAAATGTAAAATAGATAGCTAGTGGGAAGCAGTCGCATAGCACAGGGAGATCAGCCCGGTGCTTTGTGACCACCTAGAGGGGTGGGATAAGGAGGGTGGGACGGACACGCAACAGGGAGGAGGTATGGGGATATATGTATATGTATAGCTGATTCAGTTTTTTATAAAGTAGAAACACACCATTGTAAAGCAATTATACTCCAATAAAGATGTTAAAAAATAATAAGCTACAGGGATATTGTACAACATGGGGGATATAGCCAATATTTTACAATATCTATGAATGGAGTATAACATTTAAAAATTGTACACCTGTAACTTTTATAATATTGTACATCAACCATACTTCAATTAAAAAAACATTTAAAGAAATAACACTTAGACCTCAATTACCCATTTCATACTTAATTTATTTCCATCTGGCTGTTTGGAGTATGCTTAAATATAAGATTCATGAGAAATTAATGATTAGATCAATTTGAGGAAAAATACACTTTCCTTACCCCTGGTGTTTTATTCTGGACTTGTACAAAAGACACATTGGATTGGCAAAGCATTAGGCTGAGGAATTGAGGTCAAGTGGAAAGGGGTGATGATTTTCAGAGTATTGGAATCAATTCCATTGCTTTCTTGTAATGGTATTTAGATGGTGTAACAGATGCTGGGGTTGGAGCTATACTTTAAAAAGGGTCCTGTTTGGTGAACAGGTCTGACTTACTGGATGGACGGATGACAATGTTATTAGAAATTGCAGCCCCGCGTTCGTTCCTGGCTGTACACTGATAAACTCCTTCATAGGTCTCTGCTTTCCCCTCGCTCATGATGTTGACTGTGAGGGTTCCCGAGCCAGACTTCATGGTGACAAGAGGGTCTTTATCTATGTCAAAATGAGTCCCATTTCGGGTCCAGGAGAAACTGCCCAACGCATAAAGGATTAAGTTTGTTTACAGCCCAGAAAAACAGGATTATTTCCTAACAAATTCCTAGCAATTTTATGGATTTCTAAATAACGATTAGATTTTAGTATTCAGTAAAAGAACAATAGGCTCCACACCTAAAATGTTTCATTGAATTATGACTTAGAAAAAAGTGCCGGCCATACATACTAAGGTACACGTCTTCATTAGAACTAACCAAAATCTGACTCAATAAAGAAATCATGCATACAGATTGTCTGTCATCTTTCAAAGAAAACATAGGAAGTAGGTCTCCGAGGCACACTCTCTTAGAGCTTTATTAGCATTTTAATTGTAAACTCCATTGTTCATAGAATTGATAACCTGCCTATAAAGATTTGCTCTGGGCTGAAGTGTAAGAAGAAAGGCCTTCACAAGTACTAATATATGTGTGTGTTTAAAAGTGATCAGACCAGTGTCAAGTTACCAAAATGCAAAGTATGAGTTGGGAGGAGAGGAAACATGAGCTCAATGGTGTTTTAAGTGTCGGTTATTAAAAGTGATCATTGTATATCAAATATATTTTGAGAATTTTTAATTCTAGAGATGATTTTTGTAAATTTCTTAGGAAGTATTTCAAATTGTCAACTGAAAGTCTTCTTTTTCAGTTTTATTTATGTAAAAGACTGCCTTATATAAAAGTCCCAGTGCCCAAGTAATCAAATACTTGATAACTGATCACAAATCAACAATGGCCACGCTCTTAACAAAAGCATGAATCTCTGAACTTTCCCATGATTTCCAAGTCCTCCTGGATTTCCCTTCCCACTGCTTATCCTTATAGCAGGAGTTGTCACAACTCCTAGGGTAGGGGACAGGGGTGTTGGCTGCTGCTGGCTTATTGTAGGTAGAGGCCAGGGATGCTGCAAAGTATCCCACAATGCACAGAAAAGCTCTTGTCTCCACAGCAAAAAAACTGCCCAGCCCAAAATATCAATAGAGCTGAGATGGAGAAATCCTGCCTAAGAGTTACAGGAGGTAGTAATTAAATGTTAAACTAAAAGGGGTGTCATCAAAGGACATCACATTAGGGCCTGAGTGCTCAAGGGTTTCTAATAATATGACAGAAGAGATTGCTTTGAAGCCATCCTTTGATGGAAGTTTTTGGTATACTTTCGTAATTTTTTTCTCCGGTGCCAGTCTGTGATAGATGAATAAGGCTCGTCATAGACAAACTTGGAAATAAAATATTGAGAAAATTTCCCTTCTTTATAACTTAAAAAAATACACATTATCTCTCAAAAATAATGATCTAACCCTCCAGAATTTCCAGATACTACTGGACAAGTTATGGATCATCCACTAAGGAGCTGTGGGACCTTGGATAGGTTAACCTAGCATTACTGGGCATCAGTTCCCCATCTATAAGATATACTGGTTGGACCAGATAATGTCTACTGTCTCTCCCAACTCTAAAAGGCTGTACAGTGCGCATGCCAAGGTGCATATGGAGAATCCTGAGTGCTGAACACTGCCATGTTTGGAAAACCACTTGGGGCTATTTTATAGACTTGTAGAGAGCTAGGAGAGATCTTCGAAGTTGTCAAGTTCAACTTCTTTATTTTACATTTATCTGTAAACTGAGGCCCATAGAGAAGGAATCTACCCATGTCATAAAGCCATCAGAAGGCTCTTTCCACACCTTCCCACAATTTTTTAGCATATCACAGAAAGGTATCAGTATGGAAATGCAACCATCTGGGTTTTTAAGAAGGACCAACAGAATTTAATTAAGCAGAGAGACAAAACAATGAACCTACAAATGATACTTTAATAATATGCAGGACCTGAAATTAACTTCAACATGAATATCAATGCTTATTATCAATATTATAACAGCACAAAGCACACCCACCTTGGAGGAGGTTTCCCTTTGGCCTCACACTGGATTACAATATTCTCCCGTGGGTCAATAATGTAATCTTTTGGAGACTGTTGAGTAATGGTTGGAGGTTGTACCACTTAATGGTAGAAAGAAGAACAATGTAAAGAAATAAATCATTTAATATCATAATAGCAATCACTTTTTTCTATATCAAAATCACTTACCCTAGACTAAATATTCTCCAAATGTTTCTAGTAATTTCCACTGTGGTAACACACCCCCTCAGCAGATTTTTAGCAAGCTAAAAGACTCCTAAAACTTTGGAGTCAAGGTATAACTCCCTTTTGGTAACTTTATATGTGCTCATAAAGCCCATTTCCCCACTCTGAAAGTATGGGAAAATAATTACCAATATAAGCTTAATATTAAGATGTTTCATTTCTGATGTAACAATGAGAAATTTCTCTGATAGTTTTGATTCAAATGATGCCTTTCAATGAAATTTAAGTTATGAGGTAAATTTGCATCTTTCTTGGGAAAGAGTTATGGACTTGTAGTTTATTACTGGGCTCATGTAAATTAATACATTGGTAACAAATATATTTGAGAAGCTAACGTGAAAAAGATGGTTAAAATTAGAGACTTGACATGTCTTATTAGAGCCAGGAGGTAGGTGGCTACTAGAAGCAAAGATAAAACAAACTTCTTTAGAAGAGAAATTGAATTGGGAAGCTCTCTGTTTTAGGAAACAATATTCTCATTTCACTCTTCAAAGTGTTATCTGATCATTTATTATCAAATTGTAGGGAGAAACTGTTCTGATCTGGAGCAACTGAATCTGAAAAAAGCTGGTACGTGGACATTTGATGTTCAGGTCACTCTAAGATTACCACGTCTTCCTTCTTGTGAAATCAGAACCACAGAGTGTAGAACAGGAAGGGACTGGAGAAATAATCCATTTCAACTTCTTTTGTTGCTCAGAGCAGCAAAATAGCTTGACTAGGAAGGCACAAAGCAGAGAAGAGAAGCGAACTCTCCTGGTGGAAGCCACTGCCTTGCACAACTCGAAGGAGAGCTGTTTACACAGACCAGTGGTTCTCAACCAGGGGCCATGTGCCCCCAGTCCTTGGGGGACATCTGGCCACATCCAGAGTCCATTTTGATTGTCACCACTGGGATGGGGGTGGTCCTGGCATCTGGTGGGTAGAGGCCAGGGATGCTGCTAAACATCTTACAACGTACAGGACATCTTTACCATGTAAAGACTTATCTGGATCATTTTTCATATTCTGGATCGTCCCTTTCCTCTCCACCTATGCTCTGTGCTTCCTTTGTGAAACTTCTTCCACCTGTCAATCAAGTATTTCCCAAAGCTTAATAATCGTCCTCAGCTTTTGTCTTTCTTTCCTGTGGTGAATTGTTGCCAGGGCTAAATTGATCATTTCCATGTTCAATGCCTTATAAATCTGTAAACATGGATCTCTTCTCTTGCTTTGTCTGCAGTCTCGGGGCTGTTCACCAGACGTCTCTTACTAAACATCCAAATAACACCTAAAATATAGATAAAAAATGAAACTCATAATTGCCATCATTTATTGTGCACCTATTAACTGCGGGATACTGCACAGTGTCAATTTCAACTCCTTTAGCAAGATCCATCCCTTCCTCGTCCTCCTTAGCCAGCTGCTCTTCCCAGCCTCTAGCACTGTTCACAGGACACTCATGCTTCTAGCCGGCAGTTACCAAAGCTGGTTAACAGTTTGGGCTAGTGGTTAAGAACTAGTCTATTTCTTACCAGCTGTGAGACTTCAAGCAATTTTCTTAACTTCTGTAAGCCCTCGTTCCCATAGAGGAAAAACAGGGTTTAAAAGTAGTATCTACCTCCTAGGGTTGCTGGGAAAATTAAATAAAATAATTTGTGTAAAATTCTTAGTACATTCCAGTCCTATAATGGTTCAGTGATGTTAGCTATAAACATTTTTAATTAGACCAGCTTCACTTTGGAGTGATCCTTCAGGCTTTGGGAGTAGAGAGTTTGGGATGATGGAAAGAAGCCTAGAATTTCCCACTCAGGGACTGGTGGGCATAGGTGGTGGGTAGGGGGATTTTTAGGAGTGACTCAGTCCAATTCTTTGTGCTTTTCTGTAAGTGACAGAGGTGCAAGGGTAATGGTTGCAGACCCAGAACTTCTATTCATGTGTCTGTAACAGAGCTGGCTTAGCTGTCACGCATTAACTGCTAAGAGTTTAGCACCTAGATGTACCTCTTTGAAGCGTGCTTAGGTCAACTGGCAACTAACAAGGGCTTTGAAGTAATAAGGGGAAAAGGTGGTTTTATATAATTTTCCTGGCTAATCTAATATCAAAGAATTTTTCAAATGCCTGAAAACTACTTTTTTAGGTAGATGACAGATGTTGCCCTACTGTCAGAGGCAGCAGTTATAGATTAGAGCATGCCACTCAGAGATGATGTGAATGGGGGTGCCTGTCTTTTGCACACATCAAAACAATTCTCAAATTCTCTGGGCCATTATACTGATGACACTTAGAAACACTAGTCTACCCAGTCCTACAGGTTGAAGAAGTTTGACAGCGAACTCGGGTGAAGCATTTTCATGCACCCACCTGCTATATATACCCAAAGACATGTTTTTATTCCAGCAAGCCTTTAACAGCATTTAGAACCAGACATTCTCTTCAAATTTTGTGAATTTTCTCACTGAGTTACATCAGATGTGAACAAAGCTCAGAAGTTAGTAGCCCAGAATACTGGTAAAAGAAAGACAGTAATACCTGAGTCTTCAGAATTCATGCAAGGAATAGATTAAACCTGCTTCTTGGAATTTAAATGCAATGATTAGCCACAGTAAACACACACGCTTAAAAAGACGTTAGTCACGAAAACAAAATCGTGCATTTTAATTCACAGCATTCATTCAAAAACAAAGACACAGTCAAATTTTCACACTGCCTGGTAATGACGGAAAGACACTTACAGTCTTCAAGAAGTTTTGCTTTTTCCCCAGCAATATCAGCAGGTGAGTGGGCAAACAGGATTAAAGAAAACCAGGTGTTAGTGATAAGAACCTTAGCACCCTGAAGATAAAAGGGGCATCTTGCCTATTTTATTTGACCTAAAAAACCAGTAGAGCAAAGACGGAGGTTGTGAAGTAGCAAGAGAAAGAAACTCCCATTAAAGGTTTTGTTTATTCCTGAAGCAGACCTTTCTACATCCACATATGGAAGAACAAAAGGGATGCTGTAGGCCAAAAAATGATTCTGCCAGGAATAGGAATGGCTAATTCCATTCCATACGTTGTGCTGGACAATTACATTCAATTTGAAAAGCAGCTGAAATCTACAATTAATCTGAGTTGTCACATACTGTGTTGTCTGATCCTATTACCCCAGACATCACTACGCACATGGTGACAATACCTAACAATGGGACATTGCTACAATGACAGCGTTCCATCCAAGCTAAATCCAACACTGATCTGAGGTTTTTAGATTTCTACGGTTAATCGCCAAGTAGGTAATTGCACTTTTCAGACTGTTAGCATGTTTCTGCTTCAGAATTCCTCAGTCACCCAGGCTTTGCTAGTACCCACCCCAAGGAGCGGCTCATGGAAAGGGAGGATAAGGAAGAGGGGCAGGGAAGAAATGACATTAGCATGCAGTTCACATGATTCTGCTGTGCTGCCTGTCATTACTACTTGCAAAGGTTAATGCAGGAGCACCTGGGTTGCCTGTGACTTTCTTTTCATCATGGTTCTGCTGTTCTCCATTAGCAGCGATAATTGAGTTAGCCGTAGGTGACTGTTTCCCTCTGATTGTAAGACTGAGCAGTCAGATTAAAGGGGAACATATTTAACAGAAGAGAGAACAAAAGCATTTCTCTCAAATGCTCTTTCTTCTACACATCCATTAGGGCAAATGCTTACTTAGGCATTCCAACTCCAATGGGCTTAACCAATCATATCTCTTTTTTTTTTTTTAACTGAAATTAAGGTCACTGAATGAATATCTTTTGAAAAGAAGGAGAACGTTGCATTTTCTTACACTTTAGACTAAAGATGCACAGAAAAGGGAGTCAACAAAGTATGGGGCCAATCACATCTCTTCTTAATTGTCTCCCCACTGGCAGTTGCAACCTCATTGGCAAAAAAAAAAACAAAAAAAAACCTGACATCCCAACAATAGAATCGCCCCGGGAAAGTGTACCTTCCTTGTACCTTGGAAAGCTCGCCAAACAGATGTTCTATTCAAGAAGCTAATGGATTTAAAGAGGTCATGCTGATTAGGGATGAAGAATAAACCAATTCTGAAGTACAGTAATAGTCCAGATTTCAAATTCTGCTTTCCGTTGCAGGAAAAGTGACCCATTGGCCCCTAGCATTATCTTTATTTCTTACAAACAGGCCACCCAGCCCAGGGAGAGTGCAGTATACACAGTACTTTATTCAGGAAAGGGTGGGCTCCTATAGTAGCTGTTACTTGCTCCACTTTTTTTTTTTTTTTTTTTTTGTGGTATGTGAGCCTCTCACTGCTGTGGCCTCTCCCGTTGCGGAGCACAGGCTCCGGACGCGCAGGCTCAGCGGCCATGGCTCACGGGCCCAGCCTCTCCGCAGCATGTGGGATCTTCCCGGACCGGGGCACGAACCCGTGTCCCCTGCATCGGCAGGCGGACTCACAACCACTGTGCCACCAGGGAAGCCCACTTGCTCCATTTTAAATAGTAATTTTGCCGAAGACTTGTTTCATTCTCAACATTGACATCTTGGTTTTTTATCACCGTTTTAAAAACAAAGACCTCTCACTAGCCTTTAGATAAGATATAGTTCCTAGCTCTAAACTCATATTTAAGATCCAAAACTCAAAAGTGAATTGTGCCTTGTCTGAATCCAGAGAAACGAGCCGTGGGTAGTTTGGGGATACAGAGGGGCGTGGGGTTGGCTGAGAGATGATCTTTTCACTCTTAGCATATGAAGAAAGAAGGTGGAGATGCGGGGACAGGATAAATGGGGTGTGTGTGGGGGGTCTCTGTGATCATTTTAAAGCGATTTCTATAGTTTTCTTGCGGGACTCCTTCTATAAAGAGTTGCCTGCTGGGAGGATCAGGGTAGCTCACAATTCACTCCTTCTCTGGTCAGCCCCCCCATGGTACACCAAAAGCACCTGAGGGGAGGGAAAGATAATGACAGGGAAGGGACAATGTGTCTGCGATTCAATGGCCATTTCTAGGGTCTGATTCTTTATAAACACAGGGTGCTGAAGGTAAAAGGCAGATTAGTTTTGATTCGCTTTTCAGGATCACACGGACATCTCCTCCATCCACATGGCTCAGAGTGATGGTAAATGCCGGGGAGGGTCTGACTCCCGGGCCTAAGAGCTTTCCAGCGTTAATACTTACGATCAAGAGGGACTTCCAGTGCACTAATCATCTGGCACAGGAAGAGTATCAGGGGTGCTCTGCTTGCAGATAAGTGCTTCTTTTTCGGCATCATTATTTTAAGCTGCATTAGCTGAACTCCTGCTGAGCCCCACAAGCTGAATTTCCTTTTCTTCTTTCACAAAAGATGTGTGTGCAACGTTTAAATAAGTCTCATGCAGGAAACTGAAAAAGGATAGGAGAAGAATTATAGTGCACTTTTGAAAAAAGGAGGAAATGAAGAGAGGAAGTCGGCAGCACAGAAAATCAGTTCTGTATTATACATGAACTCTAAATGGAACTCTAACTTTTAAATATTTCACTCTGAAGACTGAGAGACTCATTTATTCATAAATCAGCTAAAATTAGGTCAGAAATATTTGTAAGGATGTCAAGCAAAATCTGTCAACTTTGCCACCCTTCTGGTTTTCCCGTTTTAAATATCTGCTTTATATTAGAGGCTACCATGTTCCTAATAGATCAGGAAAACTTGGCTTATAAATCGGTTAGAAGGTGTGCCTTTGAAGGGGAGGCCTAATGGCTTCTCCTTTCTAGAGATTACCACTGGGAAAGTTCAGGGCATGGTTGCCAACTTGCTTCAAACCCCAAACACTGATTTACCGGTTCAACCACCAAGAATTCTGGCCTTCTCCATCTCCTACCTAGACGGTGGCAACAGCTATGCCTGGGCTCTGAGTTCCAGGTCTTCCTCACTGCAGTCACCCTCCTAAACAGTGCTGATTAGTTTTCCTAAGGGTCTTTGGTTAAATACTGGGAGTAGCCCCATGGGACCTACCCGATTAAAGTTCAATATATCCTTAAATAAGTCATACAAAAACTTGAACGACCTGGTCTCAATTATCCCACCAACCTCATTTCCCTCTATCGTCATGTAAGTATTCTTTTTTGCCTGACTGTCTGATTCTGCTTTGCTTTCTTGGGTCAATCCTTCAGTACGCTTTGAATTTTCCTAACTTCTTGCCTTGGTTTATTCTATTCCTTTTACCTGTAATGCCCTCTCCACCCTATTTCCTCAACAATGTCCAATGGGTTTCTTTATAGAGCGTTTACTGGGTTGGCCAAAAAGTTCGTTTGGGTTTTCTGTAACATCTTATGGCAAAACCTGAACGAACTTTTTGGCCAACCCAACATGAGCTGATCACTCAAACTAGAAGGCATTTCTCTCTCTCTGAGAATCTCTGAAATTACGTTTTATTCATCACATATAGTGTACAGGTAGATACAGTGATAGACTTTTTTTGGGGTATGCATACTCTCTCCCCTACTCCTTCAGGCAAAGGTTGAGCCTCTCCCATCTTTGTATTCCTCTCCTATCACCTAAGGTAGTATGCCCTGCACATGGAAGTACCGAGAGAACACGAGCACACAGAATACAGACCTCTGTCCTACAACAGACCTCTACCTGGAATGACGGGTTTAATCACAGCTTCTCATCAATAAAGAGAAGTGTGAGTGACCAATGGCTCTCTTGCGAAGGTAGGGGTGTCATTATTATAAACTAAGATTGTTCTTACAGCTTAATTACTGGTGTAATCGTGTATTTTTAAAATGTCCATCTTTCCCACTGAACTGAAAGCCTCGAAGGGTAGGGACAACATCTTTCCTGTTCCCCATTGTGTCCTCAGAGCTCTTCACAGTGCCTGGCACGTGGTAGGGAGTAAATAAATATTGGTAGAAAAAAAGGGAAGGGGTGACAGGGGAAAGGTGAGGTTGTATTCAGATAGGCACTCTGACCACAGTCTGCCTGTGGCTATATTTATATTTACACTACTTGGTTTAAAAACCAAACTCTTGTCACTATGGTCAAATTAGTTGGCATATCATGTCTGTGTATGGAAGAGAGCTTAAATGTATAAAAGAAAAATGAAACAATGCTGACAACATGTGTTTTGCTAGCAGCTGAGTTCTGATTCGAACCGGATTATAGTTATAGTTGGACATTTCTTGCTAAACAAATACAAAAAAATATGCTAAACATAGACATCATACATATATAAATATTATTTTGTGAATGAAACATCCATACTGTGTGGTTTCATTTAAGATCCAGGAAATTTGTCTTCCCATATTATAATATATAAACAATCATGACCATTAAACATCGAGAGGCTGGTAGAAAAGCTCGCCCAACCATTTCTAACCAAAATATAAACCAGACTGTCTTTCTGTGCATGCAAAGCAGATCTATACCATTTAATCGAATTGACTTAGGTCTCTCATGATTTTTTTTTTGGTTGAAACGCTAATTGTGAATTTACACATAAGCTTCAAGGAAAATTAACATAAATGGCACAAATGGCACTAAAACAATCAATGGTACATGCTACACGTACTGAGAGAAAACGACAGAACCAAGCACCAAGAAAACAAAAGGCATTCCCGCTTGATTTGTGTCAAGCTAACTGAGTTTATTCAATTTAAGTGCTTAGCTTTCGAAGAGATGCCAGAGAACTAAAACACTTTCTAAAAGATGTACTAAGAAATTGTAATGCCCGTAAGATCGTAAGCAACTACATACAATTTCCAAGTTCTTCATTCATTATTTATTTTGCTTGGATGCCTTAACTACTCATCCTTCAGAACAGAGAAAACAATGACACAACGTCGGGTAAAAGAAAGTATCATTCAACTGCTTTGCCTTTTCAGAATACAGATGGAATAAAATATTCCACATTATATCACAGTGTTATATAAAGAAAAAAATAAAAATCTTAAGAAAAACTGAAACAACACTTACTTAAAGAGACATGAGTCAATCTTCACAGTGAGAGGAGCTCATGAACTACAGGGAATGAAGAAGTGGTCTCTCTTCAGAAGCTGTAAGTTCATTCAAACCAATAGCCACAGAATCATCTCCAGTGTAGATTCTGTTTGGGGAGGACAAAGCAATGGCCCAGCCCACCCTCCAAATCCTGCCCATGGAAAATCACCGACTTCTCCTATGAATGCCATCACAGGTGAATAACCCAACACCCAAGGACAGCATTAGGTCCCCGGCACTCAGTCACAGTGAAAATCAAATACAGCTACGGAAAACTGAGCTTTCTCTCTTGAAGAGCGATGGGCTTTGCAAGTCTTACAAAGAAAAACCACTGCTTCTGCCCTCGGAGTACCGATGTCAGCACCCTGCCCTGCCAGGAGCCTACCTGTCTTTTACTTTACCTTGGAAAAAGGATGGTCATTCTCTCTTACATGAGAATCGTGAACTAAAACTAAACGGTTAATGCAATTACATTAGCATGAATGAAACCCCCATTTGAAATAGCAGCATCTTGTTTAGTCAAAGCTAGAGGGCATGTTAGCACAATATAGCTTACAATTTTCAAAAAATATTTGCCACAGACATTTTAAAGCATGCTTGAATGAGGCAAATGATAGGTTCATCTTCAGAACAGAAATCATCCTGACATTGAAAAGCACATATATTGTTAAAACAACCCAGAGTAATGATAAACAGGAAAGCCTTTTACTATTTCACTTCATTTCACTCCGTTCAAAGCAACTTTTATGTATTACCTACAGAATCTCTTAACAGAAGGAAAAAAAAAATCTCCCTCTTTTAGTAAACTTTTTATCATTAGGAAAGAAACACAATTCAAGATTTCCTTACTTCTTTTGCCTAAAATTCATATGAAACCATACAGCACATGTTGCCTCACATTTTTACCATATATTTTAAAAGAAAAACCTAAGGTTTTGACAAAGGGTTCATATTAAGCCCAAGAAACATAGCTCTCTTGTTGCTTAAGAAGTCCTGTCATTAAGAAAGAAGAGAAAATCTTTGTTTTTCTCAAGTGAAAACTGAAATTATTTGAATAAAAAAAATATAGCAGCTCTCCACTAGAACCAGAAGGCCATGCACTACTTACCACTTCATTCTAGCCTGTCTGTACTTTTCAGCTTCCCGACATGGGTGGTTCAATGTTGATTGCACAGTGTAACACAATCTGCTCTCTAAGCCAGTAAACAAAGATGCTTATGTGACTGGATGCCCTTTGGCACACTAATCATCGCTCTGGTGAGCCCTCAGCGGCTGGCCTCACTGAGTGGATAGCTAACTGGAAGTGGCATCATCTTGACTGTGAAAGGCGTTTTTCAGCAATCAACTCGGGATGGTTACTTGTTTTTTTAATTGAGGTATAGTTGATTTACAATCTTGTGTTAGTTTCTGACGTACAGCAAACTGATTGTTATATATCAATATACATGTATGTGTGTATATATATATTCTTTTCCATTATGGTTTATTACAGGACGTTAAATATAGTTCCCTGTGCTATACAGTAGGACCCTGTTATTTATCTATTTTATACATAGTAGTTTGTATCTGCTAATCCCAAACTCCTAATTTATCCCTCCCCCAACCCCTTTCCCCTTTGGTAACCGCAAGTCTGTTCTCTATGTCTATGAATCTGTTTCTGTTTTGTAAATAAGTTCATTTGTGTCATATTTTAGATTCCACATATAAGTGATGTTATATATTTGTCTTTCTCTGTCTGACTTACTTCTCTCAGTATGACAGTCTCTGGGTCCATCCATGTTGCTGCAAATGGCATTATTTCACTCTTTTTTACGGCTGAGTAGTATTGGGAGGGTTACTTTTTATATTTTGTTAAACATTTACCAAAAGGAATAAGCACACTAATGCCCATTCCTAGCCCGTGCTTGTGCTGGTCAATCACTGGTTTTGAGTCTAAGACTACGGAAGGAAGATTAGAGAGAAACGGACAAACACTTTGTATAATTAACACAGGAACAAAGTCACACAAATCTACACAACTCCACTACCAGGAATGCGCCTTAGAAAAAAGGAGTTTGGGATTATGTGACTCTAGAGAGTGTAACGATCTCTTCAAATAACAAGGCAAACTTTGTGAAGCAGAGGAACATGTTTCTAATTCCCTCCCAGACCAAAGGGATGTCCCATAATAGAGATTCTGCAAGGAATCTGGTAGCTAGAACCTGGAATAGTACTGAAGGAAAGGTGAATAATTAATAGATGTTTTTTAACCAAGTAATAGATGACAGAATACATCTTGATAATAGCTCAAATCTCCAATACTCAGAGCACTCTAACTGATTATGTTACTTGGTATTCATAAAAATCACAGAAAATAGGAAAGCAGGTATTATACCCATTAAACAGATGAGGAAAAAACCAATCA